TGGTGTTATCGCTTCATGAAGAGAGAGAAGCTGTCCATGAGGACTCGCACCAGGCTTGCTCAAAGAATACATGATGCACCAGACAGTGATGATGAGTGTATGAGCGATTATTATGAGTCTTGAATTTTGTTTGTTCGTAACTTTTCTTTCTTTGTAACTTGTTTCACTAATAAAATATTTTTTCAAAACTTCACTGTCAAAAAATCGGGGGGTGGCTTATACAAAGGGGGTGCTTATACATGGGGAAATACGGTAATTTTGCTTCATCGGCACTTCCACCAGAAGATGGTACATGGGAAAATGCCTGGCCTTCCCTGAAATTCAGATTTGCCCTGTGACCCAAGGGCACTCACACCTTTTGGGAAAGCAAGACTGTTTGACATTCAGTGGAAGCGTCAGTTCTACTCATGTCATTGTGGGAAAATTCAACTACCAATTCTTCATCAATTTAAGCAAAACAGGGTGAATACGTCTCATATATCTGGTTTACTTGGAGTCTAGAAACCCCACTTATAAACGGAAAATGAGCGAACTTCATTGTGAGAAATCCACATATCCATCATTACATCACCTTAAACCACCTGGGCCGACTCAAATTCGTATTCAAAATCAAGGAGTATCTAGGTTCGTATTGTTTGACAAAACTAGATAGCCGCATTGTTTCGGATTCATGTCAATTTGTGATTCCTCTGCCATTCGCACCTTCGTCTCGCCCATCTCAGGTGCCCAGACGGAAATAGGTTGGAGGTTCCGCCCGTGCACATTCGACTTATCGTACAGCCACCGGCCAGCAGTGGACGGCGGATCTCTGGTGCCTCAGCTGAAGCCTCCGTCTACGACTACAATCGGGCCGAGAAAGATGATACTCCGATTGGAGGAGAGGACAGAGAGGCTGACGAAGACTATGAGAACAGTCCTGGTGGGGTAGGCGGGTCATCTGTTGGTGATCAAGAGCCGTTGGCGTGGCGTGAAGAGCTGGTCAATCGAGAACCTTTGATCGACAGTGAATTCCTGCCCAGTGCCTATGATGAGTCGGATGCCCGCAAGTCTTTCTGGATTCCAGATACTCTCCTGACAGACACAAAGGCAGCAACCAATGGGGAAGGCGGAAACAACCCCACCCAAGTTGAGTACCAGGTTGGACAACAGGAGGAGGTGCTTCTGAGGGGAGCTGAAGAGGTGATCACTCACCAGCCCGTGCCGCAGACAGGCATTCCACTTTTCCCGGACCTGAAATTCCTTCTCTCATCTCCGTCTGGTAAGCACGGAGAGGTTATTTTCCCACTTTTGCCAGCCGACACTTTCAGCCGAAGTTTATAGAAGAGTTTTGCCTAAAATGTACAAACTTACACTTTTTTTTGACCCAGCTCTTTGCCTCGATTTGTTATACTTTACAAACCGGCACTGCGTAGCATACTTGGCTTTTTTGCTGCAACACTTCATTCGCCGAGCATCCCTACCTCTACTACTGCGTGGTACCGACGAGGGTATGTGTTTCGAAGGTTGATCTCGGGCCTTAAGGAATGCTCGATGATACACTTCATCAAGGGGCGGCTATTCTTCACCCTTTGTATGTTGCATATGACTTTCATAAAGGGGTCTTTCATACCCCGTAGGTCTTAGGTCATTTTAAGCAGAGAAGTGTCATGACGCAGGCTAAATCTTGGCAGATTTGCTTAGGATTATGATGGTTAAACTGGTGCTAAATTCAAGTGGATGCACAGATGCACAAAGATGTTTATAAATTAGAAGAAAGAATGCTTAGAGTAGTGCCTTGAGAATACACTTTTTTGTCATATTCATTTCATGTGGAAAAGCTATTTAAAAGTTACAGTACTTACTAGAGGACTGAAGAGTCTGTCCTGAAAGCTCACTTTATCAGAGCGTGGCAGACTTCGGCAAATGCATATTCAAAACCTATTATACGATAAGATAAATGTCAACCCCATCTTTTATAACATTTGTCTTGAGTGTTAAGCTATACGAGAAGACTTATGCCTCATTGCCAAGAAGTACGAAGGCTCAGCACTCTTTCATCAAGGCTATGGGAGAGGCTGCCGATGCATATTGTGCCCTAATTAGCGAAATAATCAACGTCTTCCAAGCAAGGTTAAAGAAAATCTTATAGTATCGTCGTCCGAACCAAATGAACCACACTTCAATTGGGTGGTATTCTGGGGCGAAAATAGGACCGTACAAACATAATTTCATTGATAGTCTTTAAAAGGAGCCTATTCATTGAACCACTTTAATATTTGACAATTTCGTCATAATTGCGCATACTTCTCGAAACTTTGAATTTACATTTTAGGCATTTGCAACCTGCTTTTGTCGCTTCAGTTATCCAAGTTTTACAAGCCGAATCAAAATACCGCATTGTGACATTTATGAGACTTTTAGAGACTTTCATTTCGTATGAAGGTGCGTGATGAAGAGATTCATTGGCTGATCTCATCGGAAGATGACGGATGATTCCCTTTGTTCTGTAGCCGTTTATGTTTAAAATGAATTGCATGTTGACGCAGTCGACATGAAATCAGGCTAAGCTTTCATCCGTCATATGACGAATATGATCAGAGCTGGAATGTATTCTTTCGTGAACTGCGTCAACAAAATATCCTATTGAAGCCAAACGACTTCAAAACAACAGGAACCGGCCGTCGTCTTTCAGTGAAATCAACCAGTGAATCAGGCATTTTCATACAAAATGACTTTCTACAATAGTGTCATCTTAAGAAATTTAACTAAAGCCAGCTACTTTTCGTATGTATTTATGAAGTTGTTTCCTCGATTTCACTTTAAAGTTTACAATAGCAAAGTAAAGTAACACTACACATTTAATTTAACAGCTTCAGTTAGCCTTATTACCATTTATGAACATATCTATGAGTCGAAAAATTAGGGTTACTTACACTTAAGAACTTTGATCTTAACGTCGTTATCGCAAGCCATCTTTCAGTACCCTATGGAGTGTTTTTTAATAATGATTGACAGAACAGCTCGATTTTGTATATATGAATAAATCTTGGTTTCAACGAATTCCTTTCATTTCGTAGTAAAAGTTATTTAGAAGAAATTTGCGGATTACCTTCTCCTGATTCATCGAGCTCGCAGAGCGGTGAGCCGAGGACTTGTGTGCTCACTCTAAAAGCCTTCACTCAGAGGAAA